CACGCGGATAATTCACCGACGACGAAGAAAAAGTCCTATACGCTAGCACCTATCTACGCGGCGCAGCGGAGAAATAGTTCCGCCCAATAAAAAGAGAACGTCAGGAAAAACAACTATAGGAACGGACCGATCGAACCCAGGAGGTCTTTAACGACTACCGAACCTTCGTCAAATACCTCAAGGAGGCCTTCGCGGACATCGATAAAACCCGCAAAGCCACAAGAACACTTTAAACCCTAAAGCAAAAGAAGTCAGTACTAGAATATACCACCGATTTCCAGAACGCAGCGTACGTAGCTAGACATCACACCGACTACACGCTTAGGACGTTCTATACCCAAGGATTAAAGGACGAAATTCAGGAAGCAATAACCTACCACGAGGAACCCGACAATCTTACGGAAATAATTCAACTCGCCACTATACTAGACCGACGCCGCTTACAGCGCGGATAGGATAAGCAAGCCAACACATCCCGATCCATAAGACCAAGACATACTTAGGAAGGAGGTAACGCCATAGAATTAGACAGCTCATCCCGGGACAACAAGGATAAAGGTAAAAAAGGAAAGAACAACCGCAAAACCCACAGCAAGTAGACCGACCAGCAAAAAGAAAGGTTTAATAAGAACCTCTATATCCACTATAGTAACAAATAGGAACCCGGACATAGTTACCCGCAGAACCCGCGAAACAAAGACAAGGGGAAAGGAGCCGCCGCCACCAACCGAACTACGTCAGTAGCAGCCCAGAAAGAACCCGAGCACGGAACGCTCAGCTAGACCGCATGCTACGACGACAATTACCAAATCCACCAAAGTAAGAAATTAGTAACAGGATAGTTTCCACACAAGCCAAAGAAACAAAACGCCAAAAGGACACGCAGGACGGATAAATAGGAAACATCTACTAAGGAAGAGATCCACGGATTCGTAAAAGAACTACCGGAAGATTCCCTACTAGTCGACAGCGATACGGGCGATTTCTACGATAATACGCCCTAATCGAGCCGTCAAGGTTCTAAGAAGGGATAGTTAAAAAACTAGACGGCCCTGCACAGCAACCCACGGGACCCTTACAGGGGCCGAAGTCTAAGTCCCTAAACCAGGCGATCAGAACAGCGAACGGAACCATACCTACCGGAACAAACCTTTAGAAACACCTTGTAATTACTACCAAAATCAATGGGAAAAGCGCTAGAATTATAATAGACAGCGGAGCCAGCGGTAACTTTATCAGTCCCGCTTTCGTCATCAAAAATCGCCTACTACACCAAGCTAAGGACGAACCCTACGCGCTTAATACGGTTAACGGAACACCCTCTACATACGGAAAAGGATAGGTACGAATCGAAACCAACTAATTAACCCTCACTATTAGACCACACAAGGAGAAAATCAATCTAGATATTATAACCATCGCCTCCTATAACATAATCTTGGGAATACCATGGTTAAGAACACATAAACCTTACATTCGGTAGAGAACAGGAGAAATCACGTTCCCGGACGAAGACTATAACCGACACCTTATAGAAGCCTAGCGGAAAACCGAGAGCTACGCAAGCGAGAGCCCAGAGAGCCAGAGGAAGGAAAAGCCAGAGCTTAAGAGTCAGAGCCAAAGTAGCCAGAACCAGAAAAGCCAGAGCTATAAGTACCAGAGCTCTAGAGGACCGAGCGTTCAAAACGGACCGAACAGTACGCGCGCTCCCTAAAAAGATTCCTCGGAACAAGAACCCGGATCCTCCGAACCAATCGAAGTTAAGGAAATCTCCGCCGCAGCGCTTAAACGAATAAGACGCAGGGAAGAAAAGATCTACATGATGTATTTAAAGCCCAGTCAAGAAACGGAAAAACGAATTCTGGCACATATGCAGGCTAATAGGCTAACAACCGACGGGCCAAAACCGGCCATCGGGGATAATCCAGACAGGATCAACAAGGGTCACCCACTAGGGGGAAAACCCGTACCTGCGAAAGGAATATACTAGCCTAGTACGCCTCCAAAGCGAGAGCGGGAACCGCCCATTCCAGAATTAGAAACGGTACCAGAAGAATACTAGGATTACCAAGCTATTTTCCAAGAACGAGGCAAAGGCCAACTACCGGAACATAAGCTATAGGATCACGAGATACCCTTATTACCAGGCACGCAGCCAGCGTTTAAGCCCATCTACGCGCTATCCGAAAAAGAAAGCGGAGCACTTAAGGACTACCTAGACAAGAACCTCGAACGCGGCTATATCAGGCCATCAAGCTCGCCAGCCGGATACCCAATCCTCTTTATTCCAAAGAAGAATAGTAAATTACGCCTCTGTATCGATTATCGTCAGTTAAACGATATCACCATCAAAAACCGGTATCCACTACCGTTAATTACCGAGCTCCAAGATAAGCTATAGACGGCAAAGTACTTCACTAAACTCGACCTTCGAGAAGGCTACTACTTAGTACGCATAAAGGAAGGTAAAGAATAGAAAACCGCGTTTAGAACCCGCCTAGGACATTACGAGTACACGGTTATACCCTTTAGTCTTACGAACGCCCCAGGAACGTTTCAAAGTCTAGTCAACGATACGTTACGCGACTACTTAGACGTCTTCTATATAGCTTACCTAGATAATATACTCATCTATTCGGAGACCCTAGAAGAGTACAAAGAATACGTTAGGAAAGTATTCCAGGTACTATAAGGTAAAGACCTATAAGTAGCACCCGAAAAGTACGAATAGCACGTCCAAAGGACGGAATTTCTAGGCTTTATCATCTCACCAGGACACGTAGAGATAGACGAAAAGAAGCTAGATACCATACGAGACTAGCCAATACCTAGAACCGTTAAAGAAGTACAATCCTTCCTTAGATTTACTAACTTTTACCGGAAATTTATCTAGAAATACGCCGAAGTCTCAGAACCCCTTACGAGACTCGTACGAAAAGAGCACGGATTTAACTAGGGAGAAGCTCAGCAAATCGCCTTCGATTCGCTAAAACGGATATTCTGCGAAGCTCCCGTCCTTAGGATCTATAATCTAGAATTACTAATCGTTATCGAAATAGACGCTTCTAATTACGCTATTAGGGCTTGTATTAGTTAACCCGACGAACAAGGGAAACTCCACCCCATCGCGTATTACTTACGAAAGATAACCCCACCGGAGCTAAATTACGATGTCTATAACAAGGAACTCCTAGCCATTGTTACGGCTTTTAAAGAATAGAGACACTACCTTAAAGGGGTAAAATACCAGGTTATAGTCTATTGTAATTATAAGAACCTAACTTACTTCACCACCACTAAAGAACTAACCCGAAGACAGGTCAGGTAGGCTAAAGAATTAGCGTCGTACAATATAAAGATTACCTATAGAAAGGGATTAGAGAACGCCAGAGCCGATGCGTTAAGCAGGAGAGCCGATTACCTCGCAGGAAAACCCGGTATTCAGCCAGCAGTACTACAACAAAACGAAGATAGCTCCTTAGAACCTGCAAGGGCAGTCGCCCCGGTATACCGCACGGAACGATACTAGTTCAACATAGAACCAGATAGATACGTCCTAAGCAGACAATTAGCACCGACAATCAGGCTCGAAAACAATTCCTAGCTCGAGAAAATTCGACAGGAATACAGCCACGATACGATAGCACAAGAACTCATAGACATAAAAGACGACCCGAGGGTTAGTAAAGATACAGACGGAACAATCCTGTTCTTAGGATTAGTCTACGTACCAAGAATACTTAGAGAAGGTCTAGTCAAAGATATCTATAAGCCACCAGCACACGGTTACCAAGGAACCGACAAGACAATCGAACGAATCACCCGGCACTTCTACTTCCCAGGCCTCAGGAGAATAGTTCAACGAGTAATCTCGCAGTACGATCTTTACATCCGAAGCAAAGCCGCGAGACACGCTCCTCATAGACTACTACAGCCACTTAAGGCACCTAAGCGACTATAGCAGTCGATCTCGTTAGACTTTATTACGGATCTACCACCCTCGAAGGAGCTACTCACTAGGGTAAAATACGATTCGATACTCGTTATCGTCGATAGGCTTACTAAGTACGCGTACTACCTGCCTTACCTCAAGACGGCAAACGCGGAAGAACTCGCCTACACGTTCCTTAGGACAATCCTCGGCAATCACGGGTTACTAGAAGAGCTAGTATCAGACAGGGACAAACTATTTACATCCCGATTCTAGCAGACTCTCACCCGTCAGCTTAGTTCGAAACACAAGATATCTATAACGGCATATCCGCAAACAGACGGATAAACAGAACGAACAAACCAGACCCTAGAATAGTACTTACGCTGCTATATTAATTACGCATAAGATAACTAGGTAGAACTCCTACCTCTTGCCTAATTTGCGTACAATAGCGCCAAAGCAGTTACCACCTAGGAATCGCCGTTCTATACCAATTATAGATACGAACCAACGGCTTACAATAAGCCGCAGCTAAGCTAATCTCTTGCCTAGAAAGGAATCCTAAAAGCAGACCAGCTAAAAGAACTATACCGATAGTTAAGCCTCGATATAGAATACAACGGATTTCTAATATTAAGATACTATAATAGGCGGCACCAGGAGGCACCGACCTTTAAGAAGGGGGATAAAGTATATCTCCTTAGAAAAAATATCCGGAAAAAACGGCCTAATAACAAATTAGACTTTAAGAAAACAGGACCGTTCGAAATTAACGAACAAATTAGAAAAGTTAATTATCGTCTTAAATTACCGGATATAATGAAAATCCACCTAGTCTTCTATATCGTACTGCTAGAATCGGCACCAGAAAACGCTACTATAGTATAGTAGATAGAAGAAATAATACCGGAAAACCCTAACGCCGACGAAAACCAAGAATAGATAGTCGAAAAAGTCCTAGACAGCGGACACGTTAACGGTCAATTCCGCTATCTCTTAAAATAGGAAGGAAATTAGGATAATACCTAGGAACCACCTAAGAACTACGACGGATGTTAAGAACTTATTAAAGAATTCCACCGCCGAAATCCAGATCGCCTAAAGCCGATACGTTAAATTCGCCAGGAAACGGATCAACCTCCCAGAAGGCAGGTATCCGCGCGAAATCCACCGGCTCCGACGTCTTAGGAGGCGTAGCAGAACCAGCCCTAGGAGAACCCACATTCGTAGGACCTACAGAGGTATCAGCTAAGGACTCGCTACGCAAGCGCTTTGCATGCCGATTACTACCCTTATCCTCAGGGTCAACGGCATCCCCAGCCTCACGAGCAGCCTTAAGGCGCTCAATCTCCTCTAAATCCTCTACCGTCTAAGCCTTGCGATAAAGCATTAAAGCCCCGCGGCGCTCCAATAAGGAAGTCTACTTCTTAGCACGCTCTAAACGGGCTATAGAAGCACGAAGGGCCTGTCGAGCGCTTTCACGTTCATTACGAGCCTTATCTAAAGCGCGCTTCAAACGATCAACTAGAGAAGTTAGAAGCAAGTACACTAAGAAGGGGGGAATATAAACAATCGGAATCCTCGACACCTCCAGCATCACACTTACTATAGCCCCGACGGCAGCACTCGCTACATCGCGAAAAGTTCAAGGCCACCTTATAATCCACTTACTCTCCCTGCTCCTATAACAATAGACAACGAGTACAAGGAACAGGTATAACGTCGCCTAATAAGTCAATCTTAGCACCTAAAGAAAGGCGCTTAGTGTCCTGCTTAGAACGCTTACGCTTAGGAGGCATGTTAAAGGACTTACAGAAGAAAGGAAAAGACGATAAGGGAAGAAGATATAAGCCCTAAGGGAAATCTTCGGGTCGAAGATCCTTAAGGGAGGGGGTAGTATTATAGACCTTAAGGGAAATCAACCTACAGGGTCGAGAAGACCTTATAGGAAGAAGGCCCACACGGGCCTAGAGACCTTAAGGGCTTAGTAACCGCAAGGGCCCGCGTCCCGCAGGGTACTAGCAGACACACGCTAGGCAAAGCCGCAAGGGAACTAAAAGCCACAACCCTAAGAAGCCTATAGGGGATTATCGTCTATAAGGGCAAAAGCAGTAGGCCGACAACGGACTTATAGAGCGATTCAGGATAAGGAACTTATCGCGTCCGCTCTACAGTAGGAATAGAGGTTGTTAGGTTACGGGAAGGTAGTCGCCAGAAAAGTAGCACGGAAGTCACGTAATAGACCCATACTAGATTAACCCCCTCAGATTAATCTAACCCTCGGATTAATCTAGTAAATAGATTAATCCAACATCTCTTTTAATCCAAATTGTAAACATATATATAGACCACGCTCTTTAGTAGTAAGACAGGACCTTCGTGGTTAACTTAAAGTATTAATCTCTACCAAAGGTTAATAGTAATACGCCTACACCCGATCCTTTACGTGACTTGTCTCTTAACTTCCTATACTTCTTATCCTTTAAGGTAAACCCTTCGAACCTATTCACCCGCTAGGTAATTCTAACACCTAGGCTGAAGAGGCCTCGTTACACGGCGAGGTAGTTCCTCTTCTTCGCCCCCTAATATTTTAGGCTCTTAATTCCTTACCGGCGAGAATAGTGCGGACGTAAAGGTATCCTCGTCCTATACTAGCTAGGGAGTTCCTTATTCTCTTAACGATAGTATAGGGGTAATTAATTACCCTCGTTTGTTTTACGCGTTAGTAGATAGAGGTATTTGCCTTAAAGGGCTGCCTTAGGTAGTTGTGTTACGTGATACTAAGGGTGATTTAGTTGTATATTCTACTATATAGGCGGGTTTATCCTCCGCTAATGATTTATTAGATTTAGTCGACCCTTCTAAACTTAGCCGAATCCTTAGGACTACTTCTAATAGTTCGTCTTCCTCTTCTACCTCTAGAACTTTATATGCTTCTTCCTTATCTTCTAGTAAATAGCGGGTTAATTTATTAAAAGTAATATCTCGGACTCGTAGGATACGGTCCCCTAGCGGGTACTAGATACGGAAGATGTTAGTAGAATTATATCTAACTAAATAGCTAATAAGAACTCTAGCTCTTAGCTTCTCCTTCTTCGGTATTATCTTATCGAGTACGTAGGCCTTACAGCTATATACTCGTAAGTAGTTAGTAGTAGGTTTCTTTCTATAAACTAGTTCGAAAGGAGTCTTCTAATTAAGACGTTAGATTAGCGTCCGATTATAGATATATACTACGGCCTTTATAGTTTCTAGCTATAGACGTTTAGGAAGGTTAGCTCTAATGCGAAGTACTCTTACCTTAAGGATAAGAGAGTAGCCGGAGCGTTCGGCGTATCTATTTTAAGTAGGAGTATATAGTAACGAAGTCTCCTACGTAATTCCTCTTCGGTAAATCTCCTACTTTAGTTCTTACGTAAAAGAACGCTCTCTATTAGAATGAAGAAAGGCTGTTGTTTAGTAAAAGCGAATTAGAATCTGGTTAAGCTTTACTAGGACGATTATATTATAGTCGGATTTAGTAATATAAGTTTTAGCGAGGACGTATTTAGTAGATATGTAATTAAGGTGCGTTATCTACTCGTGATAGTTAAAAGCTAGAGTTATTTAGATAAGGTCTAGAGAGACCTAAAAGAATAGAGCTGAGGATATTTCTTCGTGATTACTAGTAGTTCGGGAGATTTATTGACGAGCCTTAGTTTTAGCGTAGATATCGTAGTAGATAGGTAGGTTCTTACTACTTAGACTTATACTAGATACGGCGTTAGGTAAAGCTTAAATAGTATTCGAGCCTATATATACGAAGATAGAGTACTACTACTCCGTAGGGAGGTTGCGGGTAGTTAAGGTAGTAGTAATTAGAGCCGAGGTAGTATTAGTAGAATAGTATTCTGCGAAGAAATGTCCCTCTGCGAAGGTGAGGTTGTAGATAATACTATTATCCCTCTTATTATAGAGGTATATTCGTCTAGTATCTATATAGATATCTTTCTCGTTTGCCTTACTAATTAAGATAAGGTTGCCTATAAAGGAAGGGATATATGCTACCTTCCTTAAAATAATAGGCTTACGCTTATTATTCCTACTTACCTCTATAGTAATAGTACTAAATAATTCTACCGGAACGACGCTGTTCCCGCTAAGAATAAAATCCTCTAGGCCTGTACTACGTGTTTTAGTAAAACGCTTACTTATAAATCTATTATAGACGTGATAGGTAGTACCCGTATCCGTAATCTATAAGAGGTTAAGAGTAGTAGGTCGCGTTAGTCCTTAGGCTATAAAAGATATTGCGATAACAGCGGCTATAAAGGAGGTTACTATTCCGCTATCGTCCTTATCTTTTTCGCCCGTTGAGGTTTCTTATGATCTATACTTATTTATACTCTTCGATCTGGCGATAGCCCTTTCTATATTATCCTTTGTTATTGGATTGCTGAGCGCCTTCTAGACTTGCTTCTAAACTTTCTTATTTGGTTTCTAACCGGTAGGGCGAGCTTTAGTGTTTAGGTAGTAATACTAAG